AGCTTCGAACTTGTGATTTTCCTGCTTCAGCCTTCTGAGTCACTGGGATTACAGGTGTGCACCACTGTGCCCAGCCCTAGTTACATATCATCAGGTCTGTTCTTAGGAAAAATCATCTTCTTCCTAATAGGATATTCTCATATTGATGCCTAGAAATGCAAACCAACATTCTGCCAGTCACTCCTCCATATCTTCAAGTTCTGTATCTGCAGATTCAACCAGCCAAGGATCAAAAAGATTTGAAAAACAAAAACTGTATATGTACTGAACACAGATATACTTTTTTTTGGTCATCATTCCCTAAACAATATAGTACAACAACTATTTATGTAGCCTTTACACTGCATTAGGTGTTATGAGTTATCTAGAGGTGATTCAAGTATGTGTAAGGATGCCCACAGATTATATGCAAACACTGTACTATTTAATACTAGGGACTTGAGCATCTGTGGATTTTGATATACACAAAGTGTCCTGGAAATAACTTTCTGTGGATACTAAGGAATATATTTCCTTTTTACAGATATCATTGTGCTTTCATCTTATATCAAATAGTACTTATAACATGTTCTGTTTTTCTTGGCTCTGATCAGTCTAAGTCAAGTAGAAATCCTAGGCTCTCTTCCTTTAATGGCCACAGAGTATTCCCTCTGAGAAAACTGAGAACAAAGAAGCTATGCCATTATGTCAGGAAAGGCAAGTTTTGCTACTCTCAGGGCAATTCCACCCTGAGAGTGGCAACTATAAACACCATTCACAATCAACAGAGGTGCTTTCAAGGACCCCAACACCCCCGGCCACTACAGTCTTCTGGGGACATGGATTCCCTAGTCACGGACTCTGTGAATCACAGACATCAAAGTTATAAAACAGCTAACCATGTATGTGTTAAAAATGCTTCTATTCTGTCCTCTCATGAAAGGAGGGAAGGAAAGAAGGAAAGGCGGTGGGGAGAAAGAATCAGGATTAATGATACTCAAAGAGAACCTCCAGTGTCTGAAATAAGCACAGTACTATTATTAAATGTGTACTTAGTGGTTAATGGTCCATTGGTCAAATGAATAAAATAATGAAATATTAACTCTTTTGTAATTTGCTTTTTGCACCTAGGCACAAAGTCTTTTATTTACCTTCCCCTCTGGGCATTTGTTTTCTCTCTGCCTTCACAGTCTTTGGCAACTGTATCAAATAGAAGTTTCAAAGATGACTTCTGTGCTACTGGTAAACACCAATAACAAACTAAATCACAAATGCCCCATTCTTCTGTTTCTCCTGATTAAAATGTCTCAGCTCAAACCCTCTCTGCCTGCTTTACACCTCATTCTTTGGATTGTTTGCTTATTTGGGTTTATACTTTCAAACCAGCTTGATTCCTTCCCACTTGAATCACAGTCCCACTTCTGCACAGTCTACAACTGCTGAGGTCCAGGAAGATATCCTCAAAGGTTGTGCATCGAGGGAGCTGAACCCAGGTGTTCTTCCATTGACCTACACAGATTGATCACTTTACTTCCCTGACTCACAGGTTTCAGTAAGGAAGTCCTGAATTTTACAGTGCCCTTTCCACAGACACCTGTAAGTGATTTTAATTCATGCCCTCAATTGTTTGCCATTCACAACATACTTACAAAGTCCATCAATATAACACAAATGTAAAACATGTCCTAATCTTGGCACTTTCCATCATGCTTAGATTTAGTTGCCCCTCCTTCCTGTTCCACACCAACTTTCCTTCTTCTATACTGAGTCCACACTTCTCCTGCCTCTTTCACCCCCCACCTCTCTTTCTACGCCCTTCTCAGTAATGGTATGAATCCTTAAAATAACTATCTATTGGTCAAGGAGCAAATCATCTTTCTTGCCTCATGAAACCCTTATTGTAAATTACTTGCACACCTTAATTTTAACCTTCTTCTGAGGGGACTCATTCATTGCTTTGTGCATCCACGTGGGGACTGCACACTAAAAAGCATTCATGTTTCAAGTTCTTCACTCAGTGCTGTGCAACTCACTAAGCATGAGGAGACCTCACAGACAGGTAGTGGATAGAAGACGAGGAGCAAGATAAGTGAAGGGTTCCTGCTGCTCTCTTTCTTCAGATTATGAGACTGATGGCTTACCTACTGCGATAGCAAGGCACCTGCTGCTCTGTTCTTCAATGCTGACACTTCAGTGTTACATGAACACCAAAATAATGGACCAAAGTGGATCATACCTCAGGCTAATACATTTGAACCCCTTTTTGTCTATGGTTGTATATACAGATATTAAACTCTAGAAGTAAAATAGGATTCAACTCTTTGCAATTTAAAAAATGTTAAACATTTAAGAAAAATTAAATGTTTCCCACTTGTTGATAGGGTAACCATCACATGCAATTCACTGAACAAATATTTAATGAATGCCTTTTATTTAAAAGCACTTTTGCCAGTTGCTGGGAACACAGAAGACAAGATAGAATCCCTTTCCTTAAGAATTCTGAATTGAGTGGGGATTCAATTAAGTAACAGAAGTAACAACACTGTTGTAAGTGCAAGCACAGGGAATAGATTTAGGGTCCAGTCAGGGTGCAGTAGTCTCAGCATACTAGGTCATATTCAAAGGGCTAGATATAAGCATGAGAAATGAGGCAAGGGACTCAGCCTGATTCTATGGGGGCTGCACAGCACAGTCCTGCTGGGGATATAATCTAAGGACAGAGATAAAGATGACTCAGGATAAGGCAAGCTCTCCAATCAGTGTTCTGAACAATAGCAGAACCAGGAGATCAGAGCTCCACAGAAAAGAAGGGGGTTCAAGAGGAGGCGGGGTCCTTACCATGGACACTTGGTATGGAAGGTATTCTTGCCAAAATACCTGAACAGAGCTATAAAAGGACAGCAATGGTCAGATTACAGAAGAAAAATCATAGGAAACAAAAAGAGAGGAAAGACTCAGGAAGGCAATTTGGGATGCTTAAGCTTCATAGAACAACTCTGTCACATATATGTAAAATATATTACTACAAGGTACAGTGTAAAGAATTCTAAACTAGTAGCCAAGAGACCTATTGCTGGTAAGATTATCATTCTTTCAAATGAAGTGGGTGGACAAGAGCAGGATCCATGCATGAGCTGGGAAAGCCATCTAACAGCTTACAACCAGCATTCATTTTCTTTACTTTCTTAAGTGAAATAAAACAGAACACAACACATTCTGCTATGTGAAGCACTCATAAGGAAAAACATTGTTTTGTGAAACATTCACTTTAAATATGTAGCACAGTGCTTGATCAAGATGTAAAACAAGTTTTTTTTACTGTAGGATCCAAAGTCTGAAAAGAACTAGACCAGAGAACTTGTAAGTTTTCTTCAAATTCTAAGATTCTCACTTATAGCCACTAAATTCTAACCTATTTTAGTTGAGAATCACAAGCAAAATTTGGAAATATCAGAGAGCAAAGTTTGGGAATACCTTCAGATAATTCAAATCCAAAACTAAAGATGACAGAAGACTTCAGGAAGTTAACTATGCCTTACATATGAGGCAACTCAGACACACCTACTTGCTCAGGGCAAGGGTTCTTTCGAAAATCTCTCATTTTAATGCTACAGAAACTTTTGAATAACATACTCAAAGTAGAATTTTTATGTTTCACTTAAAAAAGATCTAATGCCAACCAACCTTACATTTTAATACCTATTCCAATGGCAAATTCTAGCAATCTGCACATACTTTTGAAACCCTTTCCTGAACAGGTGGCTTTTAACTACTTGTGGATTCTGACTCAATACATGAGCATATGACACATTCTCATTTGCCTAAACCAATTTCCAAAAGCTATATACTCTAAATGAGGACATCCCATCAGGACTTCAGAACATGAACAAGCCAGTACTTCTCTGTTGGACAAACCATTTCCCAGAAAGGCAATGGGTAATTTATGAACCTATGTATAAACACAAATGGAAACAAAATCATTAACACTGGCCATGCTTATGAGTTGAACAAACAAGCTTTAGATAAGAACTATAAAAAGGTCTACAGCAACACAGTGCCTATTGTGCTTATTCTGAGGACTCTTTCCTCTGAAGAAAACCAACCTCTGTATAGACATGACCTCAAGTATCTTCACCAATTACTGCTGAGGTAGGTGAGAAAGGTGACTGACATCTAAACTGGAGCACAAGCAGGTGACCTGATTTGGACACAAAACTCAGGTTTTTGCTTGTGTTACCAGGTCTAGCCCCTAAATCATGAACCCAGATTGTGCCTGGTACATAAAAAGGCCCTCAATAAATACTTTCCAGTCCTTCCATGAGTACTAATTCAAGGTCAAGACACTCCCCACCCCTGTATGATTCAAACTCATCCTGGGCTGTTTACTGAGGCTCTATGAAAGGTGCCAGGTCACCAGCTAACTTCCTGTCCAAACAGTGCCAGCTACTCTGCTCCACTGGGAGGCAAACTCTTCATGCCATCCGACCCCCCAACTGTCTGTAACGCTGCCCAGGCTTTGCTCCAAGGGCACACTTCACAATCAGAAAGTCTTCGAGGCCATCCCATCTGGCCTCCTGTTTCACGTGGCCGAAACAGATGTCTAGAGACTTATGTTTTGCCCAAGGTCACTTCTGCCAAGGACCTTCAGTCTTGATGGCCAGCTCATACAAACTAAGCACGAAACAAGTTGGTTCTCTTTGCCCAGTACTTACACATCCCCACGCCGCCACTTGCGGTGGCCAGAGCCACAAAAGACCCAGCCCCAAGACCTGCAGCACCTGGGCGTGCTAAAGCGGCACAGCGCCGGGATCTAAGCTCTCCAGCAACCCGAGGGCTGGCAGGTTTGAAAGAGGGTGAAAACAGGACAGGAGTGGGGACGAAATGCGAATCCTCAGCCACCTGGGGTTCTCTACTCGCCCCAGTCGGAGAGGAGAGGCCCCCCTCCCTGAAGACCGCCGAGGAGACCCCCACCCGCCTGTCTACAGCTGCAAGCCGGGCCTGGTGACCCCCGCCAGGCTCACCGGGTGCGCAGCGCCTGCCACGCGGCATCGATGTCGGCGTAGAGGTTCTTCTCGGAGGGTTTGCCTGAGCTGACGCCGTAGCCCGAGTAGTCGTAGGAGAAAATGTTGCAGTTGATGCGCGAGCCGAGGCCGATGTAGAAGCTGCACATCTGGCCCAGGTCCACGGCGTTGCCGTGAGAGAAAAGCAGCGTGTAGCGGCTGGAGGGCGCGCAGCGCACGAACATGCAGCCGAGCCGGTTGTCCCGGGCGGTGCGCGAGAAGAAGACCTCGACGGCGTCCAGCTCGCGCTGCGAGTACTGCCAGTCGGCGCGCTCGCTCAGGTGCAGGCTGCACGCGCCGGGCCCCGCGCCCGCGCCCTCCTCAGGCTGCTGCGGCGCCGGCTGGGCCGCAGCTGCCGGAGCCGGAGCCGGGGCCGTGGAGGGCGCGCCGGGGCCGCGCTGCTCGGGCGCCAGGACAGTGTAGGTGGGCTCGGGCGGCAGGAAGGCCAGCTTGGCGGCGATGCGGCTCGGGCAGGGCGGGCAGCAGAAGAGCCAGCACAGCTCTCCCAGCGAGAAGCCGTTCATCCTGGGGCCTGGCTCAGGCATCCGGGCGGCCTGGCGCCCGCCGGCGACCCGGCTGGCTGGTGGCTGACGGGGAGGAGGGAGCGCGCGGGCGCGACAAGGAGGGCGGCTGCGGCCCGCCCGCGGCGGGAGGAGGAGCGGGAGGGCGGGTCAGCGGCTGCCCCGCGGCCCGGGCGACGCGCGGGCGRCCGGGGCCCGCGCGCGGCACACAAAGCCGGCGGCGGCCAGGGCCGGCTGTGCGCGCCGCCCGCGCTCCCGCACGCCCGCCGCCGCTTCCGGGTTACCGCGCCGCGGCGCCCCCGCGGGACGCGCAGGGCGGCTTCTGGGGCGGGGCTCCCCGCTACCCGCCTGGGGCCGCCGTGCTGGGCGCGGGCGCCCGCCTTCCCGGGCCTGGAGAGCGCGTCCTCGTGCCTCGTGCCGGAGCGCTACTCCGGAGAGCTGGGCAGCTGGGCTGATACTGGGAACGGACTGGGAGGGGGACACAGGCGTCACTCTTGAGTGAGTGTTCCCCTCACTCCCCTCCCCTTGGTATTTCCTTACCCAAATCCAAGTTTTTGTGTCGGATGGTGGTTCTTGGGAATCTATTGAAAAGAAAATTAACGACTGGAAAGGAATTAAAATGAACCTTCAGTGTTTGGCTCTTGGTGTCTGTGCTACTTTCTGACCTGTCTCCGCACCATAAGGGGTACTAGAGATGTAGGATGGGACAATCATGGATGTATTTCCCAGTTCCATGTGGATGTTTCTGCATATGTAGCAACATTGTTAACTTTCTAGGGACATGACTTCACTTTTAGTACATTCCTGTATCTATAAAAGTCAGCTATTGGGCTGGGATCGTGGCTCAGTGGTAGAGCACTTGCCTCACATGTGTGAGGCACTGGGTTCCATTCTCAAAACTGCATATAAATAAATGAATAAAATAAAGGTCCATCAACACTTAGAAAGGGTCAGCTGTTGTAACGAGGCTGTAATGTATTTTGCAATAAACCTTGGTGAGGTTGTCTTTTCTGTTTCTTGTGGGTAGATTTTCTATTATACATAGTGGGATATAATCTCATTTTTCTGAGTGGACATGTTGCAGAATCATATTGGTCATGTAGTCACATATATACATATAGTAATAATGTCTGTTTTATTCTACTATCTTTCCTATTCCCACATCTTACAATGATTTTAATTCACTATAATCTTGGCAGTCACCTCTAAATGATTTTTCCAAACATAACTCAATACCTTGAAACTGTGCGTGCTCTGGTGCCAATCTCATCCAGCCTCTGCACTTCCCTTTTCCCTCCTGCCTTGGCGGCCTAAATTCTCTTTGGGGAATTGGCAGGAGGTCCTTTCCTGGCCTGGCAGGCAGTAAGGCAACTAGGAGCTCGGAAATTGCCATATCTCTACTCCACCTGCGGTTTAACTCTGGCGTGTGGAGAAGAATTTTTTTGTTGTTGTGGCTTGTTGTTTCTGAACTATTTAAACTTAGTTTTTAAAAACCTGGTAATTTTTTTTTAAATTTTTAAGCCTGTTCAGACTACATATTTGAAGTCTGTTTTAAAGTTATTCACACTTGGTGAAACTGTTCACCTAAAGTCAAATTTTAGCTTCACAGAATTAGATTTCCTTAAAAAAAAAAAAAAAAAAAAAAAAAAAAAAAAAAACTGGGACTGGTGGCGCATGCCTGTAATCCCAATACTTCTGGAGGCTAAAGCAGGAGGATCACAAATCCAAAGCCTGCCTCAGCAACTTAGCAAGGTCCTAAGCAGCTCAGCTAGACCCTGTCTCTAAATAAAATATTTTTAAAGACAGCTGGGGATGTGGCTCAGTGATTAAGTGCCCCTGGGTTCAATCCCCGGTACCCCCCCCCCCCCCCCAAAAAAAAAAGGTTTGTAAGTTGCTGCATGTTGGTATACTTTACTTTGGTCTTTTTGTGTGTGTGTGTACTCAACATACATGCATGTAATTTTTTCTTGCCCACAGCACCCCAAGGTGTTTGTTAAAACTGCAGAAGGTAAGATAATGCCTACTCTCAGACCTTACAATCTAGGGTATCAGCAAAAGATTCACAATAAGTTTTGTTTGTTTGTTTGTTTTTATGTGTCTTAAAAATCTTAACTCTTCATGAAACTTGAGGAAAGTTCAGGGTGATGTTTCTGAGGGGAGCAAAGGTGACAGCCAAGTGCATTACTTTCTAATCTAATGCAGGACAAGAATTTTGAGAACTGAGATGAAAGAGTGTCTACCACATCCCTTGACCAATCTTTTTCAAACCACTCCACTCACCTGTCTCTTGACAAGGTTTGAATATCACATGGGTCATGAAAGGGGATTGTGATGAGATCTCAAGTCCATATCTTTGTGCTGCGATGGAAAAGACAACCTTCATGCTGTGCCTAGGGGCACACACCTGCATCCCAGCCTCTTGGGAGACTGAAGCCAGAGGGTCGCAAATTTGAGGCCAGTTTCAGCAACTTAACACAAAATAAAAAATGAAAAGGGTTGGGGATGCAGCTCAACATACTAGGTTCAATTCCTAGTCCTAAAGAGAGAGAGAGAGAGAGCCTTCATATTCAATATGGCTTGGTGGAAAATTAAAGAGACAGACATTTGTTTGTTTAGACCCTATCTCTTTCCACAAAAGACTTGTGAGGTTCGATTCAGTATAATATCAATCAATAAATAAGCACATAAATAAAAGACTGGCTTTTATTCTCATCCTGCTAGGAATCTTTGCAGAGGTGGGCTGAAATAACACATATTCCCCAGGAGGTATGACTGTTCTGATTTTTGTATTAAATTAAAACCCCAAAGTTCTGGGCCATAGAGCAGAACTAGCAAGCCTTTCCCACTTCATGCCAAATATAGCCAGTAGTGAAGTTTGTGTGACCCACTCAGGGACTAAAAGGTTCAGTATTTCAGTATCTCTGTAACATCTCTACTACAAATATGTCAGTGTGCCCTGACATTTCCACTGGGAAACTTGAATGTAATATAACACAGACAGCAAGTTTGCCCTACAAAATGCGAAGGTCAGGGATTACCAGCTATCCTCTTTGACCTTAAAGAATTTCTCTGTAATTCTTATCATTCTGTTAGAGTGAGATCTTAGTTTGCATTCAGGTCAGCAAATGTATTTACTGGGTATTTACCATGAATCAGTCACTTAGTTAACCCCTGGAATGTAAAGGTACAAGTTCATGGTATAATCTGCCTGGAGTAGCTCTGTATCCTCTTAAACCAGCCAAGATTGATGAACTACACAGTATGCTATGTGGCTGAATATTTTGGTCTCTGATATTTAATATTGGCCCTTTATTACATGTTTGACTGTCTTCTATTTTAGTGTTCTGGGTGTTGAGAATTATCCATTTGTTATGGACCATAAGAGAAAGATACTGATGCTTAAAAACTGAATCTCATTGTCTGGATGAAATCTGAGACATTGCCCTATTTTACTTTTTGTTCATCATTGTTTCTGCCATGACTAGTGTAGAGAAGATGCTTGGTGAATATTAACTGAATTGATAAAGAATGAGTGAGTGATTTATTGAATGTAGCAATTCTGGTGCCTTCTGGTGTAGGCAGTATTATTGAGTTTTGAAGAAGATGAAAGTGGTCCAAAGCTTATGCCAACGTCACCCTTAGTGAGTGGGAATTGTGACATTCTTCCCATCTTTCTTACCAACAGAGCCCAAATTTTTGTTCTGGATAATAGTACTCTCAATTAAGACACACAATCACCCCATCTCTCCTGCTGAGAGCATATGACACAATTCTATCCAATAGGCTCTAAGTAGAGAGCCCTGGGGGAATCTTCTGGAAAGACTATATATTTTTTTCTTTGTGATGCTGGGAATAGAACTGAAACTGGAACTCAGAGCCTCACATCTGCTGGGCAAACTCTGTATCACTGAGCTATACCCTCAACCCTTGTCAGACTTTTAATAGAGCCAGACTCAGCTGTGATTTTGCCCCTTGTACTTTCCCTTTGTTCCTGCTTGGGTGGGTCACAGACTTTGCTGTTAGAATTATAGCAGCCATCTTGCAACCATGAGGTTGAATTTCACAGTTGAAGTTGGTGGTACAGAAAGACAGATAGAATCTAGATTATTTATTTATTTAAAAATATTTTTTAGTTATAGATGGATGCAATATCTTTATTTTGTTTATTTATTTTTATGTGGTGCTAAGGATGGAACCAGTATCTGAGGCAAGTGCTCTGCCACTGAGCCCAACCCCAGCCCTAGATTATTTATGACACTGTTAAACAGCTGCCCAGTCTTTATCTAGACTTATTGTTATGTGAAAAAACAAACAAACAAACAAATTTCTTTATGGCCTGATAGTGGTAGTATCTTTCTTTCATTACCTATAGCCTAGTGAAACATTAACTGATTGAAGAATCAGAAGCAAAAGAGTTTACATTATTCTTAACCTCTTTCCCAATAGAAACAAGAGTATTTTGTTGATCAACAGTGCAGTAGTGCCAGGCATAGTGGTGCAAGCCTGTAATCCCAGCAACCTGGGAGGCAGAGACAGGAGAATCTCAAGTTCAAAGCCAGCCTCAGCAACTTTGAGGCACTAAACAACTCAGTAAGACTCTGTCTCTAAATAAAATACAAAATAGGGTTGGAGATGTGACTCAGTGGTTAAGTAACCCTGAGTTCAATCCCCGGTACCAAAACAAACAAACAAACAAACAAACAAATAAAACAGAGTAGTTATACATAAACCTGCTTGTTTCCACATAGAAAAATATTTAAGTATCACTAAAGATGGAACCAATTGTTGAGGAGTTATCTATTAAACGAACACGTATGAAATGTAAAGAAATGAAAAGTTTATAATTTTCAATTATAAAAGTAGGATAAATAATACTTCGAGGCCATTCCAGGGGATCTATGATGGATTAATTAGAGTGAGAGATCCATCATTCAACTGAAAGCTTTTGACGGCAAAATATCTTTTCTCAGAACCTTTCTCAGCCTCAGGCTCTTATCCAAAGTGCTGTGAATGAGGTCACTGAAACCTAGCTGGAGCTCTGAGATCCACAAAATGCTGAGAAAGCACTGCAGAGAT